AGATGTAGTTGAACTATCACAAGGCCTCTCTTCTTTCTCATATACGTGCACACACAGCCCTGCTTAAGCGTTTCAGAGGCTTCTTCTTGCTTTTAGAAAAAAGGCAGAACCCCCTATCATGGCCTCCAAGGCCATGAAGAATCAGCCCTGCCTGCCACCCCAGCCTCATCTTGTATCCAGTTCTCTCTCTCTCTCTCTCTCTCTCTCTCTGCTTCAATCACTCTGATCTCCATTCAGTTCCTCCTACCTTACCATGTTTCACACCCTCCACAGGGCCTTTGCACACACTGTTCCCTCTACTTGAAACGCCCTTCTCCCACACCCCTCTGTCTAGTCAGTATTTACTTACCCTTTAGACCTTCAGGTTAACCGTCAAGTCCTCAGAGATGCCTTGGCCAACTCTTTAGCAAAGTGAGGTCCCCGTGGTCATATAATCTTAAGTTCCCTGTACTTTTCCTTTAGGACACTTTCGTTGTCAGTAATTATTTTATGGTTATTTGATTGGTGTCATTCTAGACTGTAAGCTCTGTATGAGCAGGGACCAGGTCTGTTTCCCTCACCACTGTATCCTTAATGCTGCACATAATAGGTGCTCACAAAATATATGCTAAATAAATTAACATACTTGTGGGTTTCCAGATGAATCGACTCTCCGCAGCTGTCTGAAACTGGACATCATCTTAAATTCACGTCCTTCAGAAGCCTCCCTACCTTACTTTTAGCTGGTAATGCTTTCCGCCACTCCTGAGCATCTCAGCTGTCGTGGCTTATGGAGTAGGTTGAGTGGGGTCTGAGATCCTATATTTTTAATAAGCGTCCTGCTGCCTGTGCTGCTGGTCCAGGGACCACACTTTGAGTAGGAACAGCATGAGTCTACTATTTTCATGGCCCTTGTGTTTATTACAGAAATGGGGTAGTAGGTAGGAAGGAAATTGGACTAGGAGTCTCCAGTAGGAAGGAAATTAGACCTGGGTCTCCCCTTAGAACTTTGTGATCTTGGCCAAGTCACTGAACCCCCTAAGCCTCAGTTTCCTCACATGTAACATGGCCTGATAACTTTTGCCTATCTCTCAGCCTGACTGTGAGAGTCAAAAGAGAAAAAAAACTAACGTGAAGGAGCTGGGAGAAGCTGAAGTGCTGTATAAACCAGAGCAGTCAGTGTTATTCCTGGTAACTGTTGCTTCGCTCTGAATATCCTGTTTACCTAACTGGATTATAAGCTCCTTGAGGGCAGGCACCCTTAATCAGTTCACACATGTTCATGGAGATAGAAAGATGAGAAAGCCAGTGTCCCTGCCCTCTAGGAACATACCTGTTAATACAAGGGAGAAGACCACACAGGATTCTCTATTGGCAGTGTTCCAGTAACTATGTCACATACCACCCCAGAACTTCATAAAGAAAGATATTTCATATGCTTATGGATTCCATGGATCAGGAATTTGACTAGAACATAGCATTTGACTAGAATGTGGCTTGTCTTTGTTCCATGATGTCTGGAGCCTCGGCTAGGAATACTCAAAGACTCAGGGGACTGAAATCATCTGAAGACTTGCCCTCTGTCTCACATGTCTGGTGATTAATGTTGACTGTCAGCCAGGATCTCAGCTAGGCCTGTCAGCCAGAGCACCTGTGTGTGGCCTGTCCATGTGGGTGCTTGGGCTTCCTCACAGCATGGTAGCTGAGTTCCAAGACAGAGCATCTCAAAGCGAACAAGGTGGAAGTGCGTGACAGTTTTATGGTGTAGCCTTGCAAATCACATAGCATCATTTTCACCATACTTTGTTGATCAAGGTCCACAAAGGTCCACCTGGGTTCAAGGAAGGACGACGTAGACCTACCACTCGAGAGGAGTGTTGAGAAGAAGAGCACTGAAGAAGAGCAGGTGGGATGGGAGATAATGTTGTGACCGTCTTTGGAAAATAGAATCCACCACATGGCTTGGTGTTACAGACAATAAGTATGTGTAGTTCAAATATAAAGTTGCCTTTTGGCTCTTTAAAAAAGGCAATCCTCATTACTCATGGGTTCCATATTTATAGTTCGTCTACCTGCTAAAATTTATTTGTAACCCCAAAATCAGTACTTGTGATGCTTTCAAGGTCTTTTGTAGATATGTGTACATGCACAAGGTGGCAAGAAACTTGAGTTACCAGGCAACTTGCATGTGTCCAGCTGAGGCTGAACAAGGCTAGTTCAGTAGTCACTAATTCACTGCTTGTAGCAACTTGATACACTACAGCTACCAAGAATAATGTGAATTGACAGTATATAAAATACTGTGTATATGTGATAGATAATATAAAACCACATTTCTAGCTTTTCTCTGCGGGTCGCATGTTTTATGTGAAGCATCAGTCTCGGGTGATGCTGGGGAGTAACTAGACAGGAAAATAAATAGGCCAAGACTTGTGGTATATTTTCATATAGCTGCGAGGAAATCATTTGGCAGGCCAGCTATGTAACCCTTGGCCATCCCGCTTCTTCCACAACGCTGTGGCTTTGAGACCTCGTACAAGTTACTGAGCCTTGATTTCCTCATTTGCAAAATGAGGATTGTTGTATTAAATTATTGTATTGTGTTGTATTAAATGGGAAAATGCATCACATAGTAACCTGTGCCTAATCAACTCTCAATAAACGGGCCTTTTTCCCTCTTCTGCCCCTTCCCTCTCTCCGAATCCTTAGTGGGTTTCAGCCCTCAAGCCTGGGAGGGAGAAGCAGCCTTCTCCAGACCTAGCTAGCCATTGAGTGGCATCTGGTCACCTCTGGTTCCAGGCTGTGCTTTGAGGATGGGATTTTGATGTTGCAACAGTTCCTACAGTGAGAACAGAATTGCTCATTGTCTTGCTTTTAAGCCGCCATCTTTGTGTGTGTGTGAGGGGGTGGAGGTGGCTGGGGGCCATCTGACAGCCCAAGTGGCATGGCCTGAGAGGTGGGGCACCAGTCACAGCTGCTTGAAGGCCAAATCACCATAGAGGACGTTGTTTGCACCAGGAGAGGGCACTGGACATTTGCCACGGGGTCAGTTACAGAACGAACCTTGGTGTGGAGTTGCAGCCTCTTTTCTTGCGCACTGCATGCCATTCCTTTTACACCTTAGCTCTAAGAAGAATGACTGTGAACGGTTACACCTGGGTCAACCTGCAGTCAGCCCTCAAACTGTAAGGAACCCTTGAGAGGTCTATAGTGTAGACTTTTAAATTCCCTTTCAACTTCCCCCTTTCCCTCCCTGCTTCACCGCAAATAACAACTAAAAAAAGAGGGTTTTTATTTCTTGTTTTCTAATGTGTGAGCTTTCTGGCGGGGAGGAACTCGGTGAGCATTGATTAAGAGCAATTAGAGATGGCTGTGCACTTAATGGAGCCCTGTTGGTGCAGTGGTTAAGAGCTACAACTGCTAACCAAAAGGTGGCGGTTCAAATCCACCAGCTGCTCTTTGGAAACCCTATGGGGCAGTTCTACTCTGTCCTGTAGGGTCACTATGAGTTGGAATCAACTCGATGTCAGTGGGTTTGGCTTTTGTTTTGGTGTGCTTCATGTGTAGTATCCCTTCCTAGTATCCCTGTGGTCCTTGCATCTGTGCCAAAAGAACTTTCGTTTTCTTGCTTGGTCCACTTGGCTGGTCCTGTCCCTCTCCACACTTCTGCCTGGGCTGGGATCAGATGAGTGGCTCGAGGACCTTTTCCAAGCAAGATTAAATGCTGTCCCTTTCACAGGGCGTGCCGCTCTTCGGAGGAGCAGGGGTGGTTTGGAGAACTCTCTCCCTGGGGCCTGGTGGGTTCAAGGCCCAGTCTGTCAGCCATGCGAAGCCCTCTTGCTTCCTCGGTGGGCCTCTGTTTTCTTCTTCTGGGATCCCTTCCAGCACTAACAATGATCCTCTGATCTCCTGGACCTCCGTGTCTGAGAGAAATGAGAGGAGGGGAGCAATTCTGAGGCTCTGCCAGCAAACTCGCAGGCAGGGCCTCAGAGAAGGCAAGCCAAACCCACTCCGGTGTCTCTCTTTGCCCCTCCGTCCTGGCAGGTCCTTGGATGGCCGGCTGCAGGTGTCCCATCGGAAGGGGCTCCCCCACGTCATCTACTGCCGCCTGTGGCGATGGCCCGACCTGCACAGCCACCACGAGCTGCGGGCCATGGAGCTGTGTGAGTTCGCCTTCAACATGAAGAAGGACGAAGTCTGCGTGAATCCCTACCACTATCAGAGAGTAGAGACCCCAGGTACGCCTCCTGTTGGGCTGAGGGATTGTTGCGCTCCCCCTTCGCCCCTCCGCCCGTCCTCCTAGGGGAAAGGGGGCTGTGGTGCGTTTTTGGGGGTGCAGGGCCTTTGGTGCCGGCTGGGCATCGGGGGTGACTGCCTCTACTTTGTCTCCTGGGCAGTTCTACCTCCTGTGTTGGTGCCACGCCACACGGAGATCCCGGCCGAGTTTCCCCCGCTGGACGACTACAGCCATTCCATCCCCGAAAACACTAACTTCCCCGCGGGCATCGAGCCCCAGAGCAATATTCCAGGTACGCACCTGCGCAGCGCCAGCTCTGCCCACCTGAGGCGAGGGCGGCGCCACAGCCCGACAGTGCCCCCCTCCGGCTCCCCTCGAGCTCACCCGGTCACCGCCCTCTCTGCGCACAGCCAGGCCCCGGGGCCCTGACTCAGAACCGCATCCCTGTTGGGAGAGGACCCGTGGCCTCAGCTCCCCGCTCGCCGCTAATGATGCTTTTCTTGGCACGGAGGAGCGACGTGACCCTCCCGCCTGGCCTCAGCACAATCATTTATTTTGGAAGCGGAAATAGCGATGCTGTTCCTCTCACCGCCCTTGCGGCCTGGTGCTGGTGTTCAGGCAGGATCCCCGATGGTCTCGGGCCTGCAGGGGTGGCTGCGAGCCGGAGAGGCCGGGGTGAGCCGGGGGCTGGGCAGCGTGCGGTGGGCTAGCCCTGTAAGTAAGCCTGGGGCGGGTCTTCTCCCGGGCTGGGGCCACCTTCCTTCAGACCCTGGTGATGGGTTACAGTCTGGGTGGGGGTTGAGGCTGAATTCAAAAGTTTTCACTCTGCAAGGGTGAGTGTATAAATATTCTCAGGAGCCCGTCATTTACATGCAAATAATGTGTGACTCTCCTGCATTCTCGCCAGTCCTGGGGAACTCGGCCTGACAGCGCTGGGGCGTAATCCCGATGCTGCATTCCTTTTAGCGTGCTCTAACTTGGCCTTGACTCTCACTCTGCATTAGTTTACTGGGCTGAGGTTGGGCTTAAAGTGAGTGGCCTTGCGAGCTGGGTCAAAGCCTCAAGGAGAGCCGGGCTTGGCTCCTGGCCCCACCATGCCTCTTGCCAGCGTTTTCAGATCCTTCCACAGGTAGAGCTGTTCTCTGGAGGGTAAGTCATCCACTCCCACTCACTCAGCAAGCCTTAGAGTCAGCCTGTGGGTGGACGGGGGCTCAGAGAACTAGCTCTCACAGTTTCTGCCCGTCACTGAATGTGCAGCCTAATTGGGAAGCTAAGGCACATCCCCTAAAAAAGACAAATGACACCAGCAGATCTGCACAGAAGATAGTAGGGGCCCGGGGGCAGGTGTGAGGCCGTAGCTTCTCAGAGGACAGAGATCGGTGAGGGCTGACTCACTGCAGAAGCACATCTAAGGTATGGCAGGTATGGCACGTGCCCTGGGCACTCCTTGAAGGGGGTCGCCACCGAGCAGTCTCTGTTAACCATCACAGTTTCCATCGCCAGCTGTGAGAGATCATTCAGCAAGTTAAAACTAATTCTTTTGTATTTGAGAGCCTCCGTGGGTCAAGGCCGACTGCATGATCTTGCTCTGCTGAGTGTAGGAAGAGAAGAAACTGAAAAAAATAACTCTGAGCGCATCATAGATCAGTTCTCACCAGTAAAGCGAGGAAGGTGCAGTTGTGATTTTCAGGTAGTGCCGTTATGTGTCAAGTAAAAGGTTAACGAGCTTGACCTTGATTTTTGAGTGATATTATGGTACAGTTATCTGAAAGATGCGTGTGAGATATTTGGACGGGTGCAGAGGGGTAGGGGGAGAGGGGGCAGAGGGGGGCACCTCCCCCTGGATGCAAGTCCAAGGGGATGCCAGACCAGGCATGGCACGACAAATGTGAAAGGTGCCTGACTCAGGCAGCTGGACGAGAGAGGGCACTGCGTTTTTCGCCACTGTCAACGTTGCTTCATCTTGAAATTGGGCGGGATGGGGTGCAATGTAGAGGTTGCCCTTGGGCTCCTGTTCTGGCTCTGCGGGGGTGCAGTTTCAGGGCTTGCCATAGGCGCCCTTCTGTAGATATGCCTCTGGAGCTGAGGTAAGTCCAGAGGCTTCCCCAGAGCAGTTGGAACTTAGTAAATCTGACCTTGAAGGATGGGGAGAGATTAGCCTGGCAGAGGCTCTAGGAACAAGTATTTCTGACTCGGGGAGGTGGGGAGGATGCAAACAAAGGCAGTTACAATCAGGCAGGGGGCTGGGAAGTTGAAGGAATGAGGGGAGCAGAAGCCAGGAGCTGGTACCCTCAGGCACGACCTCATTCCTCCAGTACCTACCATTGGGATAGTGGCCTGAATGTGTGACATTTGCAAGATGGTGTCTCAGACCCCAAACCATGGAGGCCGATTAATGAACCAGCTTCTTTCTGATTCCCAGAAACCCCACCCCCGGGTTACCTGAGTGAAGATGGAGAAACCAGTGACCACCAGATGAACCACAGCATGGATGCAGGTGAGAGTCACACAGGGTGTAATCTTCACTGAGTGCCTTGCCCTTCCACCCACCTGTCATCCTTCCATCCTCTCTTCCTCCTTTCCTTTTTCCTTCCCTCCCTTCCTTCATTCTATCCATCTGTCCAGTAGTTACAGAGCAACAACTATGCCAGGTAGCATGCCAGGTGCTGGGGTAGAAGAGGAGCCTGCGTTGCTCACAGTGTATGGGGGAGACTGAGAAGACAACCCACAGTTACCGTGCAGTCGCATCTGCCCTGATGGAAGATGCCGTACGGCATCGGGCTCAGAGCAGGGCCACCTCATCCAGGCTGGGGAGGAAGTATGGGAGTCAGAGCAGTGCCTTGCAGTGTAGATTTTTCTCGAATTGAGTCTTGGAGACGTGTAGGTGGTAGCCAAGCCATCAGGGCGGGCAAAGGGTACACCAGGTGGAGTCATGAGGGCACGGGCAGGAGAACTTGGGCTGGAGCAGACTTCTCCGAAGGGAGAGAGATGGGAGGGCCCATCACACAGGGCTGGGGAACCAGGCGGACAAGTTGGCATTTAGCCTGTGGCTGATGGGGAACCAGTGTAGGTTTTTAGCAGGATCTGTGCCTTAGTGAGCTGTTGCTGGCAGTAGGGTGGAAGGTGGGCTGATGAGGGGACCATGGGCTGGGAAGGAGTGCACTGAAATAGTTGAGCTGAGAGGAGAGCCTGGCTGTAGGCAAGGCCTTTGCCGATGGTGAGGGAGGAACCCTGAAGCAACTATTTTTCTGCGGTGACCAAATGTGACCCACGTGCTCCTGCCATGAGGGATCCGGCCCAGTTCTCTCCAGCCACATCTCCAGATGTTCCCGTGTCATTTGTTATGGGACCAAATTGGTGCCAAACCAGCAGCTTCTTGAATTGCACCCCAGCTGCCACATAGGATGTACACTGCATGTGTGTGGTTGGGTGAGGAGGGGCGGGGGCCAAGCAGATGTTCCATCCAGTGATGGTGGGCATGCCCTTCACACACAGCCCCCTGCCCGTAACACATAGCCTAAAAGAGATTGTGCAGTTCCTGAAAGAAGAATGAGAGAGACTCTCATATCCATTGGAAACATCGTTGAAATCTGTCTCGGGCATTGTGGCACTCTTGAGTTCAGCACTCTCCGCCTGGATGAGTGGCTGGCAGCATCTGGAATGCATTGAAGACCTTCCCGTATTCGATGCCAGGTGACCGCTGCAAGCTTGCAGCTATTAAATGCTGGCAGGAGAAGCCGACCAGCTAAGCAGCATCTCTCCAGATGCTGTATTCTCACCTCCTTTCTCTCACCCCGCCTTGCTGCTCTTCATATTTGTTGGATGATTAGTGTTACTGAAAAAAAAAAAAAACAGAACAAAACAGAGGGTCACTATATGGGAAGAACAGCCACGTTTCTACTCTCTCAGCTCTCGTTTTGCCTCCCTGCTCTTCCTCCTTTCTGCTCCATTTTCTCTGTCCCCTCTCCCTTCTTCCTCTCCTCTCATATCTGCAGGGCCCTGCTATGAACATTAGTGGTTTATCTGAAGTGGAGATGGAGCTCTGCGGGCCCCAGCCAGCCCTGGAGTGGGGGGAGTGTTTCCTCCTATTTATTCTCTGTTCTCCACGCGAAGTTGCCCATTTGAAAACCAGTCCAACTGCTCCAGGGCTTGGTTTCCCTGCCAGCTGAGGTGTGGCAGTGTCTCCGTCAGGGCTGAAGGATCACCTTGTCCACCCTGTGTCTCCTCCAGCTCATACATACCCTTCCAGACAAGTGAGAGGGTCCCACAGCCTTCCAAAGTCCTCGTGACTTGGGCTGCTACTAAGTAGGAAACAAACATTTTTACTGAGTGCCTACTACATACCACAGGACCCCTGCTGGTGCAACAGTTAAGTGCTCAGCTGCTAACCAAAAGGTTGGTGGTTCGAGCCTGCCTAGCGGCTCCACTAGAGAAAGACCTGGCAATCTCCTCCATAAAGATTATAGCCTAGAAAACCCTGTGGGGCAACTCTTAAGTCTTATGGGGTGCTGTGAGTCACAACTGACTTGACGGCACCCCACAACAACAACACTACATATCAGTAGGTCCCTGGGTGGCACAAATGGTTCACACTCGACTGTTAACTCAGAGGTTGGTGTTTTGAACCCACCTAGCAGCGCTTCAGAAGAAAGGCTTCGTGATCTGCTCCTGTAAAGATTACAGCCAAGAAAACTCTATGGGACATATCTACTCTGTCACATTGGGTCACCACGAGTCGGGTTTGGTTTTTCGGTTTTTACTACACACCAGGCATAGTGCTATGCGTTCTATATGCATGATCTCATTTAATTTTTACATATCATCACGCCCATTGCCGTCGAGTGGATTCCGACTCATAGCGACCCTATATGACAGAGGAGAACTGCCCCGTGGGGTTTCCAAGGAGCGGCTGGTGAATTCCAACTGCCAACCTTTTCGTTAGCAGCTGAGTTCTTAACCACTGCAATACCAGGGCTCCGCATCATCACACAGTAGATGATATGACCCCGTTTCGTATCTAAGGAAAAAAAATTAAGGCTCAAAGAAATTAAATGATTATGCCAGTCATGTAGCTCAGTGGTGGCGTGTCTAGAATCTGGGACTGATTGTGAAGCTGTTCCTTCCAGCGATTGCCACATGCCCTGAGGGATTAGGTTTCTTGAGGAAGAGAGAGAAATTCATGACTCATCCCTTGCCCTCCAGGAGGTTACAGTGGAGTTGGGGAGAAGAAAGAGACCGCCATGAACTGTTCAAGGCAGTATATGCTTGAGGCCAGATGCAGGGCCCAGCCTGCAGGCACTGGCAGGCGTCAGGCACTGGGAGCTGGTGGAATCAGGAGTGTGCCCAAGCCAGGTCCCTGCAGACAAACCAGACCCCAGGCCGTCCAGTCGATTTCGACTCATGGCGACCCCATGTGTGTCAGAGTAGAACCCCATAGGGTTTTCGACAGCTATAACTTCACGGAAGTAGATCGCCACACTCTTTTCCACAGTTGGGTAGATTCCAACCACCAACCTTTCGGTTTGTAGCCAAGCACAAAGCATTTGTGCCACCCAGGTGTTAATAAATAAATAACTCTCTATAGCCACGTGGATACCAGGAACAGGTGAGAGACAAGAGGATGGTTGCTCATATTTTTTTTCTTTTTTTTTTTAAAGCTGATGCCATGGGATGTCTTTTTCTTTTTTCTGGGGGTGGAAAGTGGAGAAAGGGTGAGAGAGTAAGAAGAATTGGGTATATTTGGGCTTTTTCCCACATGCACAATGATGTCTTACATAAGATGTCAGTCTCTTTGCCGAGTTGCAGGATTTCTTAGGTAGGTTTGTGCATTTCCTGAAACCCAAAGAAAGGGTGGGAAGTTGGTATTTCCAGATGCTTGAGCCACTGCAGCATCCACCTGAGAGCAGTGACTGGTGAGGTCTGGGTGGCCTCAAGCCCCACCTGTCTGGAAGCCTGGCCTGGGGCTGCCTGGGCCTTTAAACAGCTGAGAGGGTGGCCTCCCCGTTTCCTTCATTTTCCTGGGGGTATAGCGAACAGGGCAGGTCTGTATAGGCTAGAGGAAAAAGGTGTCATCCAGCCTAGTTGAGTACTTAGCAGCCCTATGCCATGGGTGTCTTGGTTAGGATCCTCAAATGTCAGGTCCTGGAAGAGACCTCTGAGATCATCCACTCACCATTCGTTTCACAGATGAAGAAAGTGGGGCCCAGAGAAGGGCACCATTACGGGATTAGGCCTTCTCCTGGGACTCAGAGTCTCCATCCAAGGTTTATTCCTGCTGTGTTGAGCCACCCCATCTTGATGGACGTGTTCCGTAATTGGGCATTTCAGGCGAAGAATCTTTTACAAAGTCTCACAACTGTGTCTCATCTTGCAGGTTCTCCAAACCTATCCCCAAATCCGATGTCCCCAGCACACAATAACTTGGGTGAGTATCTCCTTGTGCGTATGACTGTAACCCTCTCTGGCAATAGCCCTGGGTGCTGGCCAGTGGTGGTGGTGGTGGGGTTTGCTGAAGGTAAAGCTCTCACCCCGTCCCCCACCAGCCCAGCTCAGCCCCTCAGGTTTCTGGTTACAGTGATTCTGGCGTCACCCACATAACGAGGAAACCTGAGAACAGCGGTGGCAGAAAAGGCAGCAGTGTGGTGGGTTTGTATTTCCCCTGGGTGCTGGTTAGACGTGAGTGAATGAAAATCCCCCAAACCTTATGCCCGAGAGAGAGGGTCTGTGGTCAGCCAAGCATACATGTGTGGTTTGATGCGAAGCCACAAGCAGCTGTGCAGGCTTCAGCCCCCCAATGTGTGGAGACATGTTCCAAATACACTTATTTGGATTTTATCTGAGCAGTTCATCTTAAAATTATGTCATTTTTATTAAAATGGTAACATAAAAGGAATTTTAAAAGAAGGAAATGCCCCATAATCCCACCACCTTAATATAACTGTTTCCATTTTATCACATTCCTTTTGATGTTTGTGACTCGGAGATCCACCTTACCATTGCAGTCATAGTGTATACCCATTTTTTGATTCTTTTTTCTCTTTGCATTATTTTGTAAACACATTTCCGTGTTTAGACATCCTGTTTATCATTTTGAGGTTCCTGGGTGGAGCAAATGGTTTACGCTCAGCCGCTAACCTAAAGTTTGGCTGTTCAAACACACCGAGGGGCACTGTGGAAGAAAAGCCTGGCAATCTGCTTCCAAAAAATGACAGCCAATAAAATCCTGTGGAGCAATTCTGCTCTGTAACACATGGGTTGCCATGAGTTGGAATCAATTCGACAGCACCATGTTTGTTTTTTTGGTTTATCGTTTTGAATTGTGTCAATGTATTGGAGAGACTGGACCATGATTTCCATAACCACCCCTCAGTGGTTAGAGTCCTGGATCAATTTTTCTGAGATTCGCCCTTATAATCTAGGAGAGTCCTCAGCTCTCCAGCGTGGGAGAGGTCTTGTCTCGCTCATTCGTGGCTTTAGCATTGAGCCTTTGAAGGGCTTAAAACAAATGGAATATCTGTTTAGTTTTTATTAAGGGGAACTTTTTTTAATGTTCTGGTCTGGTACTTTTAGAAAATGTGAGTTTGATTTTGTTTGAGCCTTTATTTCTGGGATTTACTTTGTGGCTCAGGAAGAGAAATAGTTACTCTTTGATCTTGGTGAGTAAGAGTGGATTGGACTGGCTTTTGTTCCCCATTTGTTTCAAGCCCCTGACTGATAGCATTAGATGAAGAAATTCATCCTTTGGAGTATTGGCTGACAGGTGGACAGCGTGAGATGTGACTTGGGGAGATGTGTTTTAGCGTCTTTGTAAAATAACATTACTTTAAGTGCTGGGCTCTGCAGAGGGTAGGTGACATTCCTGATGGAAGGGACTGTTTGAGTTATTAAAAACAAACTCTGTAGGCTAGAAGCTATGTTAACAGTTGAGAAATTAAAGGCCAGGCTTGTGAACTTGACTCTGAGCTTTTGAGGTTGACTGGTTAGATTTAATTTCTAAGCTATTTTACCCCACAGTGGCCAAGGCAGCACTTTTAGTTGTCAGTCCTTAGAACAGGCACTTGCCTTTGGAACCCCAGAGGTCAGCTTGGAGGTGGCAGCCACCCCGACACAGTGGTTCAGACTGAAAGTTATCCGATGGAGGGTGTGCTGTAAATTCTGCTCTAGACCGTGTAGACAAGGATAATGAGATGGGTTCTTGAGTTTGGACTCAAGGCAGAGTCCTGATGGCCACAGTTCTCTGTTCCCGCTGCCCCGCCCTTAAGCTGCTCATCCAAGAGATGGAATTCTTAAGTCACTTCTCCCAAAGGAAGGAACAGCCCCCAAGCCTGGCTGGCAGAGAGTGGGGGCCACTTTGCCCTAATCTAGTTCCACAGCTGCTGGGAAGATCTGAATCGAGGATGAGTTGGGGGACGAGTCAGTGACCGAGTCAGGGTTAGGACTCACAGTGAGACGCAGACCCTGACAGGCCCGACTTCCTTCTGCTTGACGAGCCCCTGCGCCCCCACCTCCAGCCCATTCACAACCATTGGCATCATCCCTACCCAGAAAAATCGCATGGACTCCTGGGGCATAGCTGGAATGGAAGGAGAGAAGGGTGATGATGATAGCAAATGTTTATTGAACACTTACTATTTCCTGAGTATTATATTATTCAGAGTGCTTCCTGTGTGTTCACTCAGTCTTCCTAACAACCTGATGAGGTACCATAGTTGTTTTGTTGTTAATTGCTGTTGAGTCGATCCTGACTCATGGTGGCCCCGTGTGTGCAGAGTAGAACTGCTCCATAGGGTTTTCAAGGTTATGATCTTTCAGAAGCAGGAAGCTTCTGAGGAGCCTCTGGGTGGGTTCGAACCACCAACCTTTCAGCTCTTGTTTAACTGTTGGTACCACTTAGCCACCTTACAAGATAGTAATGGTATAAGGTAATAGTAGTATGGTTTTTCATGCTACAGATTATGAAATCAAAGGATGGACTGGGTAATTAGTCCATCCCAGGTCACACAGCTAGTAAGTAGGGGAGCTGGCTTTGAACTCAGGCCTTTGGGGTCCAGAGCACGTGTTCCCGTTTGCAGCATGACCCTGCCCTGCTGGGTCATTTAGACCAGCTCCTCCCTTTCTCACTCAGAAGAACAAGGCTCAAAGAAGGGCATTTGTTAATGTCTCCTTGGGGACAAATGTTAGGTTGAGGACCCTGTGTCCTGTGCGGCCCCTGGGTGGGAGCCATGCCCACCCATCTCTTCCTCGTGTGTTTGTCCCACAGACACTTTACTGTGTGCCGGTCCAGGTGGGGGGGGCCTTGAAGAGGAATCACAGACCCCGCCATCAAGGTGCTCATGGCCTTGTTGGGACTATAAATAACCATAAAACAAGAAGTAGGAACAGATGATGTGCTCTGAGGGTTCAGAGGAGAGCCGGACTTCCCCTGGGACACGCATCCAGGCTTCCTGGCTGTTTCCTATGCATTCATTCTCTTAGTACGTGCTGATGCTGGGGGCACAGGGCTGGCTGAACACTTGGCATTCACAGCCTGGGGTGGCTGGAGGTGTCCATGTCCAACTGTGCTGCAGAGTGCAGGTGCCAAGGGAGCCCGCACAGAGGAGGGCAGGCCTGGCATGCCAAGAAGGAAAGTTCTGCATGCTGTGGGGAAGACCTCAGAGAGGTTGTGACATCTGTGAGCTGGGCCTTGGAGGACAAGTGGGTTATTGTGAGACAGAGATACAAGGAAGGACATTGCAGATGGAAGGAATGGCATGAAAGGGCAGGGCGTGCTCTGAGCACAGCTGGCATTGTGGTGGCAGTGGGCAGGCTCTGCCGAGCTGCAATGAGATGTCAGAGGAAACCCTTACAGGGGGTGGGGGGCTGAAGTCGGTCAGCAATGGGCTGAAGGGCAAATGAAGGGTGGGGACGTGGAGGCAGCCTATGTGTTTCTTCTTCGTGGCCAGTATGTCCCACACTGGTGGGACGGAGACAAGGTACACAGTGAGCTCTTCCTAGAATACGATAGGGGAGTTGCTGCAGGCCATTCGATGATTCCTTTAAAAGAAGTTATTATGAAATTATTACACGAAAAGGCATAAAGCATAGGACACAGGCTCCTTCTTCCACTTCCTCCCCACTTCAGGTGTTTGCCCTGGGGCTCAGGCTTGGGAAGGTTGGGCTTCCTGCTACAAAAAAAGCAACCCCAGGAGCGGGTGACTCGGGGAGGTGCCCCAAATGTGTGGTTGAGACTCAGCTCAGCACCTGGCCCGAGGCAGGCTCTCGAGGGACCCCTCGGGCTTTGTTTTGCAGAGAAGGGGATCTGAGCAGGTGACGTTCCTGTTATTACACATGGTGCTGGTGAGTCACCTGGAATTTCCTAAGCAGTTAAGTCAGGGATTGAGGCAAGTGGAGGGGAAGGAGGAGGGAGGAGGTGGGGAGAGAGGAAAAAAGATAACCAGCTGGATCCTGCTGGGTGAGTAAGCGGTTCCTGCTTTAAAGTAAGGCGTTTAGGGGGAGGCCTTGAGTAAAGAAAGTAAGGTATGGGTGAGTGGCCCGGAGCAGCAGTTGAGCTGGAGTTTAAAGAGGTGATGCCTTTCCCAGAGTGCATGGGGGCAGGTGTGGCTTCTTCTCTTGCCAGGAGAGAGGTGGGCTGTAAGGCAGTGGCAAGACCCCTGCCCCTGAAGACAGGCCAGGGGTTCAGGTCCCAGGCCCCTTCCCATTCCAGGTGTCTTCATGCTGCTGTACGAGGTTTTTGCCCGAGGCCTTCTCCAGCTCTAATTGTCCGTAAGCTCGTGAAACATCAGGACATCAGCCGCTGGGTGCCTTCATATTTCCGAGGGCCCGGCTCTTAGAATGTGTCCCTTCTGTTGGGTTGTAGGCAACTGGTCCTAGGCAACAAGAGCATGGGGTGCATTCTGTGCACAACTTGGTTCGTTGCTTTAATCCTTTTGCTATAGGTTGGAATTAGTCCCCCAGATGCTGAGGACAGAGCTGGGTTTAGACGTGCAGGGAACTGACTATCTAGCGCAGGAGACTAGGGTACACAGGCAGCCGCCGGGACACCAGAGGCCTTCTGTGTGGAGGGGGATGGGATGCTTCCCAGCCGCATGAGCTGGGCCTTGAAGGTTGAGTGAGCGCATATGCGTGGGGAGAGGGCATTCCAGATGGCGGGAACAGCAAGGACAAAGAGGTGGCAGCGTGAAGGGACATGGGAATTAGAGCGTGGAGGTGGAACTGCTTTTTCCAGACGAGGAGGGCCCAGCCCAAGCTAGACCAATTTACGTTTTGACCTTTAGCCTTGCAGCTCGTTGTGCTTCTGGCCTTTGCCCATTCCCTGCTTTCGATTTATAGTAGAAAGTGAATTCCACCCCTCTCTGGCCTCCCCCCTTTCCCTTTACCAAATTTGGATCTCTTGCACATGTTTTTAATAGGCGTCCCTTAATCCAA